AAAAACAAAAACAAAAACAAAAAAAAACACACAACAGAAATGAGGTATGTCATACCCACAGGTCCTTCTCTCCAGAAGCTGTGATGTATGTGAAACAGCACTGTTGGTCTTCACACTAGTGTGTACAATAAGGATTAGTACAGTACGTCTCATTCCTTTTAATTCAGGGCACCCTGAGCGAAAACAAATAAAAAAGAAAAAAAAAAACCCTGACTCTGAGCTCCGTCTCCGACCCCCTCCTCTGCCCCTGCCTCCTCTCCTGTTTTGCTACACTCTCCTCAGTGGCAAAAAGTTTCACTCTACCTCTGACAGCATGTATATTGCACCAGTAGCTAACACAAAACTGGTCTAGTCAAACCAAATGGGCACAAAAGAACCAGGATACCAAAAGTTAAGCTCATACAGCTGCAAACCATATCACTCCTTGGTAACAATGCAGACCTCATAAACCTAAAGATGAGAAAGAAAAGAGACCTTTTCTTCCTTTCCTTTTCTGCTTGTCACGTATGTACAGGCTACGTGAGAGTATAATTTGTAGGTATAACGCATTTTTAAAAAGTTACCTTCATTGGATAGAATCGAAGGGCGGTCGCTGATAGGAATAGGGCGTCCCCTCTCTTTATTTCCGTCTCGGACTCTTTCCTCTCTCTCTCTCTTGTCATGAGACTGTGTGTGACAGGGCTGCCTGTCTTTCTAAGTTTTTTGGTTTGTTTTTTTTCCTAACTCTTTTTTTTTTTTTTTTACTTTTACGTGTAGGTGCATGTCTTGGGGATTTAAAAATTTCAAGGCTGGTTTACTTACGCAAAGCATGCCTATGTCTGGAATACTTAGGGGAAGAAAGTGACTCCGTGTTGTCCGAATTCCTCAAGGGACAGAAAGGGAAAATAAAAAATAGAAAAAATATAAAAAAAAAAAAAAATTGGAGACTGTTGAAATGCAGATTTGAAGTAATTTTTTTAAAATATTATTTTGGGTTCTGCGACATTCTTGTGAAAAATTAAGGTTGTTGTGCAATACTGAATTCAGACGTGTACCACAAGCGAACGGTAGACGAACACTGGGGGTGGGGTCTAGGCATCATGCTTTTGTCAGCAACTCTTGAGCTTTTAAGTCTACTATGTCTGAACTGTGGTTTCTTGTTTATGCTTTTACCTTAGTTGGACTGTAACGTATGGTCTGTCAGCCTGTGAATCTTTAAAGTATGATTCAGGTATTGTTGTATTCTTTACTGTGTAATAAAAAGTTTTAAAAGACCCGCCTCCTCTGCCTCCCTTATCTGGCGGGGAGCCCGGCCTCGAGGTGCAGAAGCTCGTGCTGCGTGGCCAGCTGTGTGGCTCGCCTCTGCGTGGCCAGTTGTGTGGCCGGCTGCGTGGCCCGCCTCTGCCGCAGGAGTGGCTCGCCCGGGAGTGGGGCTGGGGGTGGTGTCGGAACCATGCAGGAGTCAAGCTAGCTCAGGGGAGACGGAAGCTGGAAGGGGGGTGACAGCCCCCCGGAGGGAAGAGAGCTTGGTCTGCGGGCTGCACTCCCGCAGAGGCCCGTGGGCTCAGCGCCGCGGGCGGGGGCCACTCCTTCCCTGGGCGGCTGGCTGCGGCCTTCAAGGCCCCGGCCGGCCGCCCGGAGGCTCGGCTCCCCCAGGCACCTGCAGGGCAGCCCCCGCGCAGAGCTTGCTCCCGGACGCCTTGTGCCCCAGCTTCTCTAGTTAAAAGGCACCAGCGTTTCCACTCTGGTTTTTGTACATTGTTAAACATCCGCTGGGGCAATCTGCAGCTTTGCTGGGAAATCCACACTGTCCCTTCTGACGCTTTAGTTTCATGCTGTACTTATAAGTTGGTTAGAGCTCGAAGTCCCAAACCGTCTCTGCCCCCTAATAAACCTGTTAATTTTTTAATTTATTTTTTATTGTTGAAAGTATTGTCTCCTTTTTCTCCCTCCATTGATCCAATTTTTATGCGTACTTTTCATGACATAGGACTTTTGTTGGTGGTGGTGGTGGTGTGTTTTTTTGTTTTTTTTTTTTAGTGATGTATGTTTTTATATAAAAATATGTTTTTATTGATTGCATTGTAGCAGAAATACCTCTTCCTCCTGAGTGTTCTCAACTATATGGGTCAAGCATGTAGTTGCAAAGAACAGGACAAAGCATGTGCAAAACCTGTGTCTGGGGGGGGCCTGGTGGTGGGTGCGGGTTAAGTGGGAGGGTGTCCTGAGATCACCTATTCCGCTTCCTCCAGCTGGGTCTCCGTCCCCAGGCCTGGCTTCTCTAACTTGTTCTCCTGGGAAATGTGGCTTCTCTCACATTTCTGACTCCTGGAAGTTGGCAGAACACACNTGGGTTAAGTGGGAGGGTGTCCTGAGACCATCTATTCCGCTTCCTCCAGCTGGGTCTCCGTCCCCAGGCCTGGCTTCTCTAACTTGTCCTCCTGGGAAATGTGGCTTCTCTCACATTTCTGACTCCTGGAAGTTGGCAGAACACACAAGGCAAAAATACAAAATGAAATTTTAAATTAATAATGGGCACCTCCCTATCTCGCCCTTACCCACCCGCCCCCAACTGTGATGGTTAGGGTTGGACACTTAATTCAGCAGTTAGTGATTTATTTTCCCAAAAGACAGGCCAGCCTCACCTAGGTTGCCTGTCCTTTCATGTGTTAATGTACCTTTTTTTTCTCTTCACAATAAAACAGGCCAGAAAGTAGCAGATAAGAATAGAAATGAGCCCCATGGAAGCAGTTCCCTTACAGGTAGTTCTTGAAAACACCTCTGGGATGTTCTCACGCAGGCGGAAATGCTGGACAAGTAGGAAATGCTTTGTAGTTTACCTGAAAGCTCTGGGCGAAATCCAGGGATGTCCCGGTGCTGGACACCGTGTTTTCAGACGTGTACATGATGTTTGATGGAGATGAAAGGGTGCGTCTGCCGTGGCGGAGCATGCAGCTGTCCTGAGATGGGTGGGGAGAGAATGAAGAGAGGGGCGCTGTTCTGTGTGGGTGCTGATCCCCCTACTCCGCGGTGAATAAATAAAGGTGTTTGCTCAAACCCACCCCTGTCCAGTCTGTTCTCATTCATACTGGGGAAACTGAGTCAGGCAAATACAGAGAACATTTTCTTTCCCAGGCCACTTCTCCATATAAGCAGGGGCGTAGGGCCAAGGTAATTGGGAAATTTGCTTTGGGAATTTTCAGGATCATGTAACATTTGAAAACACAGCAAGATTATACACGGGAAGCCTGTGAGAACCCCTGAAGGTCAAAACAGTATCATTGTCTATTTTACTATGATAAAAATACCATGTGGGGAGAACACTGCTGATGGGTAAGGAAAGGAATATCTGCTTTTAATTCTTTTTAAAAAAATATGTTTTTATTGATTCCAGAGAGAGGAAAGGAGAGGGAGAGAGAGAAACATCAGTGACGAGAGTCATTGATCGCCTGCCTCCTGCACGCCCCCTGCGGGGATGGGGCCCGAAACCCCAGCATGGGCCCTGACCTGGAATCGAACCTCAACGTCCAGGTTCATAGGTCGACGCTCAACCACTGAGCCACGCCAGCTGGGCTGCTGTTAGCTCCTGTTGCTCATGTCCTCGTGGTGCAGGTCTGTGCCCACCATCAAGAAGGAGGCAAATGACATCATGAGAATGAGTGGGGGGGGCATGGCCGCCCGGACACCCTGGCGGCACCTCCGTAGACCCGCGGCAGCCGGAGCCTTCCCGCGAGCACCCAGCGAGCACTCAATAAATATTTACTGTAAATACGACCTCGGGTCTGTNGGCACCTCCGTAGACCCGCGGCAGCCGGAGCCTTCCCGGGCCAAGCACCCAGCGAGCACTCAATAAATATTTACTGTAAATACGACCTCGGGTCTGTAGCTAGAATAACGCGATGCCAGTGTCCCCAGAAATGAGCAAATTGGCTCGGGGCGCAGAGAGCGAGGGAAAGGATTTAGGCGGCTGGAGAAGTGTTTGGAGGAGGGAAGATTAGATCAGAGGGAAGATTAGATCAGAGGCCGCGCGGGCACTGTTGACACACAGCAGAGGACGGTGCCACAGGGGCGCGGGAATGTCCGATGCACCGTTTGACCGGTTGACTGTGGTTATCGGTGGCACGCGTGCAGTTACGGTGACAGTTCTCTGTTAATTTATTCACGTAGAGGCCACTAGCAGGGCTTTGGAAAGTCCTTTGGGATTTCAGTCACCTAACAGCTGCAGGGGCTCCCGGAGTGGTCGGGGGAGGCCTCGGGGTCCCGCTGATGGGCACGCAGGGCCCCTCTAGGCTCTGGATTCCCAGCTCTGCCCCCTTTCCCGTCGGCTGTGCTCCCCTTGAGTGTTTCGCTCACCTTAGCTCTCCCATCCCCTCCAAACCTACACACGACAGACCTGTTCATATTTGGAACCATTTCCTTTCTTTTATCTGAGTTCTTGATCAAGCCGTCCCTGCCCTTTTACTTAAACCCCATGAAAGGGTGTGAGGGTGCACATATACACACCCAGGGCTGTGTGTGTATTCGTGTCCGTTGCGATTGCCACCTGCTTCCATGGAATGTTCTCACCCCATGATCGACTGAGAACTTCAGTAACTTGGTCACCTATGCTTCTGAGTCAGAAATGGTCAATTGGATATAAAATATGCTCATAAAGAGGCTGAGGGTGATCATTCGATGCTGGAAGAGAAATGGCTAATAAAAGGGGTGACTTGGTTAATGAGGGATCGGCATTTCTCAAACGCGTGCGCTGGAACTCAGGTTTCAGAANTGCTGGAAGAGAAATGGCTAATAAAAGGGGTTAATGAGGGATCGGCATTTCTCAAACGCGTGCGCTGGAACTCAGGTTTCAGAAGTGAGCAATGGGCACCCCGTGGGGGGAATAGAAGTAGCACCCAGTGACGAACACCTG